GTGACGTTATGTGAAACAACGATAAGCGGATAAATTTTCCCCATAAATACAGTAGATAAAATATGGGAGTTACGTTCCTGGGCCTCCCTTTGCCCCTTGAAATACATTACATATACATAAATTCAATGGCATTTTTATAGAAAATAGTATATATGTACAGTATATAGTGGGTAGTGGAGCGGAGGAGGAGCGGTCCGACTAATTACCCAAATGTACCCAAATATAGCCGCAATGAAGTCAAATAATGGTCCTACATGAATAAATCGGACTGCTAATCACTTCTCGACTAGTATTTGGTGTCACAAAGTCACAAAAAATTGGAAAACTTACTTTAATCTGAGTTAATAGATCGCGTGCATGTACCGAGGGAGCGAGGAATTACCCAAATGCAGCCAAATGTAGCCACAATGAAGTCAAATGATGGTCGTACAAGCGTAAATCGGGCTGTGAATCACTTCTCGATTATTATTTGGTGTTATAAAGTCACAAAAAATTGGTAAACTTAATTTAATCTGAGTTGTGTTGTGTTAGGTTAGGTTAGGTTATGTACATGCACTTGATCTATTAACTCAGATTAAATTAAGTTTACCAATTTTTTGTGACTTCGTGACACCAAATACTAGTCGAGGTTAGGTTAGGTTCGGTTCGGTACATGCACTCGATCTATTAACTCAAATTAAATTACGTTTTTCAATTTGTTTTTTACTTTGTGACACCAAATACTAGTCGAGAAGTGATTGATAACCCGATTTATTCATGTAGGACCATTATTTGACTTCATTGCGGCTACATTTGGGTACATTTGGGTAATTAGTCGGACCCGAGGAGGAGGAGGGTGGAGTGTCAGTGAGACCTGGCAGGTGGCTCCTCCTCCGGTTTAAAACCTCCATTTTCGTAGCAAGGCTACTGGTCTTACGTTGCTTCTTCACAACACTTGCATCAGTAGCACTTGATGGGCGTTTGAAAGCCATTTTGAATTGTTAGGGTACAGTATTAAGAGCAAAAACACTTAAACACACACTAATGCTGTGGATGCCTAACAGACTGGCTTGGTGTCACTTGGGGACGCAGTGACATTCCGCGAGTGTGAGGTAGCACTCTGAGAGAGGGCGATGCGCTGCAAAAAGTAGTCCGTGACGACGCAAAACAACGTTGTACCGAGTCATCGGGACGTTAAACGAATTTTTGGTATGTAAAGATTAGCGACGTAGTACTGAAACAACGTTTAGCGGGCCGATGTTATACGAAGACTTACTGTACCGTAAGTTCTTTCTGTTTAATATGTCAGGGGTCTTGAGGGTGGAGCCTCATGGCTAGGAGTAGGATTCAGGATTCTTTGGTGAGGTTGGAGAGGACTTCTAACAAGGCTTCTGCCACTTATTTTTTTTTCAACTGAGGTTAGGTTGGGTTTAATTTCGAAATAACTACTTTTTAACACATTTGCCAAAACTACGCGTGTCCACAAATAAACAGTGAAATTGCGGAAAGGAAATTAGGTAAGGTTAGGTAGGCTTCTTTGATTGGTTAGGTTACGTTAGGTTCATTATGAGATAATTTTGTTGCATTTGTAAAAATTTACTGTCTTTTTTTGTGGAAATTCTAGAAAAAAGAAAATCTCTTATAAGTTGAGAATCACAAAGTAAAAAATGCATTTTTTTGAACATTACTCCGACCATTTTTCGTTGAAAAGCAACAAATATTGAGGAAACTGAAATCGATCTAACCCAACCTAACCTAAACTAACCTTAGTCACGTGTTGTCACGCAGTGAAATCACAGAGTGGCTGGTATGGAAAATAAAGCAACGCTTACCAAATGCAACTGGTTTATTCTGCTTCCAAAGTGATGAGTTTTGATGTAATACAGGTGTTTGGGGTAGGTATGGTTAGGTTAGGTCTGTCACTGCTTACCACATGCAATACCCTCAGTTATCCCATGACGTTTCTTAAATAATAAAGTAAATAATACAGTAATAAGTAAATGTAACACTGCGAGGTGAGCTCATGAGGCAGGTGGTGAGGTGACAAGACAAGGCACTTACACAGCACACATTTGCAGCGTTACTAAACCATTGTCTTATAACAATTTAATTCATAATTTCTATTTTAAAATTAATTGATACATGATACCTAACCAAACCTCACTAGTCTTGTAACTAACACTCCTTTGTATGATCCCATGCATCTTGTTAGCTCTGTTTTGAGCAATTGTGCATTGCTGTCTTGGTTAAAGATTTCTACTTATCATAACCCCTAAGTCTTTCTCGCAGTCGGATTTCTCTTTATCAACGTTGTTCATCTGATCTGGTTAGGTTAGGTGAATTTTTTTTTTTTTTTTTTTAGGTCTTGTAGTTTGGTGGAGTCCTAATCAGATTTAATTACGTGCCCTATTTTAGTGTCGTCAGCAAATTAATGTATGTTGCTGTTTACCTAACCTAGCCTGACTTTTGGTAAACTGCACACTATAGTAGCAGCCAGTACAGTACCTGCCATTCATGCTTTCTTATGTGTTTCAAGTCAGACTGGGTGTGTGTGTGTGTTAAATTACAGTACAGTACTAGGGTTTTGCCAGCCGTTTAAAATGTGGAGGGTGTCTGGCAGGTCCTTTAGGGTTTTGTTGGCATTACAGGCATATATGGTTGTGTGTTAATCAGTGTACTGTACTGTGTTCAAAAACTGGAATTGTTGCTTAATTCTCTCTCTTTTACAGGTACTGTACTTTAATGGGCAATGTTTGGTAGCTTTGGCATTCTGTGTACCGCTAGCAAGGCAGTGGGCTCTTAACACTCGTCTTGCCCGCAGTGCCCATCGGTTCTGTGTGGATGTCGGTCACACTAGAATAACCCGTTATAGTACATCCTTCTTTCCTCACACAGCCAAACTGGAATGCTCTGCCTTATTCTGTGTTTCCATTCTCTTACAAAATGTCTCGCTTCAAATAGCTGGTCTTCCAGCATCTTTGTGGTGTAGATTAACATACTCTTTTTCTCCTCTAATTTTTATTTTTTACTCTTATTTTTTCACCCCCAGACCCCATTATGGGTCGGTGGTCTGTGCCCGGGTGGGCTATTCCCCATAAAAAAAAAACGGGTGAATTACCAATACTGTAGGCCTATCATGTTTATAATCTATAGTGAAATCTTTTGCTTGTGTTTAGTAGATTATTAGTACAGTACGGGTTGTACCTCTTTAGTCCGGCAACCTCGGGACCTGACCGGTGCCGGACCATGGAAATTCACCCTTTTCCTGGATAGATAGTGACCTGTGCTTGTGCTTGGAAGCATTAGCACCACTTTCTCTGCATCATGGTCTCTTTGAAGACATATTGAAGGGTTAAATGTCGTACAGTAGCTTCTCAGATTTCGCGAGTTTTTAATTCTTAACGTATTTTATTGGAACACACAAAAAAAAACTAAATAAAAATTTTGACGGCGGAAACTTGAATTTCAACGGGTTTGAACGGCCCGCCAACGTGCAGACGACGTGCATAATCGTGTAAACAGCTTCATTTCTCTTATGTACAAAAGATTCATTATTGTTTATTACTGAATGTCTTTTTGATTGAATTAATGTTTATGTGTGCAAAATGAACAATACAATTCATTAATAATACGTAGAATATTAAAACACACGAGGAAATGACACAGCATTGTTTTTGTTGATTACAAAACCAGTGACTGACTGGTTCTACATATAAAACTGAAGAAAATAAGACCTTGGTTGTAGCTGTAGTAAAATTAATATGGTTGTTTTAAGTAATGTTATTTAATGTTAATAAATGGAACAATAGAAGTACCGGTAGCTAACGATAATGGTAAAGAAAAAAGAGAGATTGCGTATGTAAGTGCGCACACGTGAAAACATATCGTCATTACTTTACATAAGAATATGAAAGCAACACTTATTTACTGTTCATATATATTTTAATTAATGTTTCTGAATTTGTTTTTATTGAATTAATGTTTGTGTGTGCAAAATTAACAATACAATTTATTAATAATACGTGGAATATTAGAGGAGACGAGACGGCTGCCGGCATTGTTTATGTTAAAGCTTACAAAACCAGTGACTGATTGGTTCTACATATAAAACTGAAGAAAATAAGACCCTGATTTTAGCTGTAGTAAAATTAATGTAAAAAAATTAATATGGTTGTTTGAAGTACCTGTAATGTTATTTAATGTTAATAAATGGAACAATATAAGTAGCTAACCATTAATGGTAAAAAAAAAAGTGAGACTGCGCGTATGTAAGTGCGCACATGTGAAAACATATCGTCATTACTCTACATAAGAATATGAAAGCAACACTTATTTACTGCTCATATATATTGAAGGGTTAAATGTTGTACTCTGTATAGACAAGCAGAGAGAGAGAGAGAGAGCAGCTGAACTGCCGGATGTAAACAAACCTTAATTTCCCGCGGCTTTGTTGTTTTTTTTTTTTTACGGGGATTAGCCCACCCGGGCATAGGTCACTGGCCTGAGGGGCAAAAATTTAATACTCTTGTAATAATAATAATAATTCAGATAAAAAAAAAAAGCTGCCTATCTACCTATTGGACAAACTAAAATCGTTCCGGACCATGGGAGTTTCCGGACCACAGAATGCCGGACTAGAGAGGTACAACCACTGTATTACCATATGTCTTTTAGAAGGTATGGATATTTTCAGAGATGGAAATATCTGTAACAACTTATTTTTGCTTTTTTATAATTTCAATTGGGAAATGGATTTTGTATCATATCCAGTGTACATTGACAGTGAGTTGAACAAGTTTGTATTTCACAAACCTGGTGTTAGATATACAGTACTGAAAAGCACTTTACAGTACTTTGGTTCTTGTGTTCGGTGCTCTAGTTTTTCCCAGAGAATGTAGGCACTGCATAGGAGTAGGTGCACTCTTGTTTCTTTGATATAATTTAACATAATAAATTAAGAGAAATCCATTCAGCACTAAATTATTTCACAGATATTTGAAAGGTTTATTGTATATTTACAGTCTTGTTCGAGGAAAGCACGAGAGAAACCCTTGCTGGAGAATCACAGGGTATGCAAAGCTTTGATACTTTGTTACATACGTTTATGACCGAGCTTTGCAGGCTTGCAATATCAAAGCACTTGATCAAGGTTCTCCACAATTCAAACTGATAAAGATTCAGAATTGGTATTTACAGGGGCTCATTATTTAAACATTCCACAAATCATTACATTGAGATATTTGTTTTAATATTGTTTTATGTTGATTCCATACTATGTTTACTATTGTGAGTTTCCTTCTGTCAAATGTAAAATAACACAGGGCTGCCACACTGCACTAAACCTGATGAGTCCCTATAAATGCACTAGTGAAGGGAACTCTACCCTTTTCTCTTGCATATTATTAAAGATTTAGAAATACTGTAGCTACACTATTATTGCTTTAATCTGTCATGGTTGAATTTTTTAAATTTTTTTGTAAAACATGATAGTCATATGACATTATTAAAAGTACTGGACTGTACAGGTAGTTCTGCTATAACGCGATAATTGTGTTCTTGTAAAATATCGTGTTATAGAAAATCGCGTAATAGAAATAACGGCTTATGGAGAAAATAGGGTTAGGTGCAGATTACTCGAAATCGAAAAAATTTAGTAGTTAGCCTAACACAAAGGATAGCACAGTCTAAATAAATGTTACATTCATATCTAATAATGAAATCATACAGTAAATTTAACACTTTACCTTGAAAAAATATGAATGTAACTTGATGGGGGAGAAGGGTGATTTTGAGGTTGATAACATCGAGCTTCTCTTCAAGTGTTATATCCTTTCTTTTACGATAATCACCGGGAATTCTATCATCAGAACGCTTTTTGGAGATATTCTTCTTTACCATATTCACAGTTAATACCACAAAATTGGAGAAATAGTAAGCAAAAATCGCGTTATAGCAAACAAGCGTTCGCGTTATACAAATATTGTTCCGAATTCATAAATCGCGTTAGAGCAAATTCGCGTTATCAAAACACGCGTTATAGCAGAACTCACTGTACTGGTAAAAATGCACCTCATCCTAATTCTTAGATTCTGTTCTCAAACTTATTGAGCTTGGCTGCAATTTTTCAACTTGCAGCAGTAAAAATATACGATGTGGCCAACTACAATAGAAGTGGTTGTGGAGAATCTTTTTTCTGGCTTCACATCTCTCCTAAGCAGTGTTAAGAGATTCCAGAATTTAATCATTTTAGTTGTACAGTAGTACAGTGTACTTAAGATTTCTATATACGGTATACTGTACAGTATATATACCACTGCAGCTGTTTTTTTTATTTTTCCTGTTGAAGTTTTGCATAATATATAGCTTACTGAGAACAAGCATGTAGCTATGGAGGTGAGTACCGTAACCAATTTTTTTTTTCCAATACAGATGTCTCGGGGACCAGGGATTATTTTGCGGCGAGTCTTGCTGGCAGTGTGTATTATCCAAGTTGTGATAACAGCTTACCTTGCCCTTTGCATCTTCAATTCTGCATTTTCCACTGTCAAGGAAATGAAAAGCTTTCCACAACTGGAACCCAGAAAGAAGAGTGAAAACCAGCAAGAAGGTCAGGGCAAAAAACTCATAGGTAAGTTCAGTAAGGCTGACACTAAAAGATCCCCTTGTAGAATTAATAGCTTTCTTTTATAAACAACAGTTACTGTATTTACCTCTGGTCCTTTATTGACTGTTAGGTTATTAAGTGTACTAAAATTTATCATAGATGCTAAACATGCAAAGGCATCCAGCCACCAAACTTTGCTACATCATGCCTGATGGCAACCGGGTCACCAGAGCTGTGCCCATCCCCTGGTCTCTGCTGCAGTTTCTGGCAGCCCTGAGTTTTCAGTGGTGAATGGCAGGGGGCATCCTGTTAAGGTTTTACCCAACATATGCCATTATCTAGTCTTGTTTTACCTATTCAAGCATGGCAAATGTCTGTAGAATGTTGTTGTTGATGTTTATATATAGCACAATTTGTGTTCTGTAAATTTACCATAGTGTGAAAAACTGACTTTGTCTACACACTTTCCTGTGAGATATTTCACATTTTCTGAAAAATAGGAAATAGTGATTATATATGCAAGATAACTTTTGACGCATATATAATATGATCACACAAAGTAAATTGCTGTAATAAGAAAATTTTTCCTTACAGATTTTGATATTGGGGAAAATCAAGCTGCCATTGTTTTAGCACAGCAGGAGATGAAGCCCCATGTTGTTCAAGGGATGGAAGTAAAATGGGATGAGGCACCTGCCAAGATATCAGTAGGTAAAATGGTTTCATCAGTAATCTTAACCCCTGGGCTTCGGGTAGTGGATGGGAGCCCTCCCTCTCTACGTGGGTATATTCGAGAACATTTAAAAAACAAATAAAAACAATTTTAGTCTTACAAACTGGCCATGCACGATATAAACAGGAAATAATACATTTCCTTACCACAGGTTGGCAACACAGGCTAGGAAGAGTTGAGAATGTTCGTGACGGGGCGTGTGTGTGACTCAGTTGTAATGAGGTAAACAACACTAATTTGTAGGTGGTATGAGGTACAGGACACCTTTTTATATGTTTTCACTATTTATACTATTAACATTCATTATTATTACTCCAGCAATTGATCACAATACTAAACTTGTGCTTTGGGATTGGGGGAAGGGGGGTAGAAACACATACCTGTAGTTGAGTCAAGTCCAACGGCGAGATTCCTACATCACAAAAGCTGAGAAGAGACTGGGATGTTCTCATGTGTGAGTGACCCGAAGCCTAGGGGTTAAGCTTTTTATGAAAATGTGCAATCTTTCTATCATGTTTATAACTAAGAAATTTACATCATCAAACTCAAAAGCGCGCTACGTCTCATCCTCCAATTGTTGGATCAATGTAGTAGTTGGTGAAACTTGTGGGGTATTTTCCTAATACAGCTCCTCCCCGACTTATGACGGGGTTAGGGACCCAAATCCAGGTAGTCGAAATGGTTGTAAGTCGGAAATGCTTAAATAATACATAGAAAATCGAAAATGGGTGTCTCTTTTTCTTCTCAGCACCACAAAACACTCACTTTTAAGCTTGCCAGCCATTTTAAAGTGAAGTACAAACGAAAATTTTGTCTGTGTACTGACTTTGGGACTCAAAAATACGTAATTTTACCAAATTTTGGTATGACTGAGGCAGGTCGTAAGTCGAGTAGGTCGTAAGTCGGGGAGGAGCTGTATATAATCGTCAGTTACGTGAAGTGGCAGTCAAGGGGACGTTGGTTTACGGGTATACCTGTGCTGTACAGCTTGAGCTTATAAATTCCACCTTACTCTTACAAAAATATTTACTATTTTGTTTATGCCATTTTACAGTCAGGCCTTATAAACCTCCCCGTGGTGGAGGTGTGGAGCAAAGCTGCTGTGGGTACTTACCTTTGGCAGCACATTTTGGAAGGTGAGGAAAGCTTGGATGAGACAGTACCAGGAGCTACTCTTGGTGAATTAAGGATGCCAGCATTTATTCTCAGATATAGATCAGGTACAGTATTGTATCATCATCAGTGATCTTTCAATTTTACCACATTATTAACCCCTTGCCCCTCTCTCTGGTGAATAAAATTGTTTGTGGTCAGCCAAATAAAATACGGGGGGGTAATAAAAGTGGTGTCCCATGGTGAAGGGGTTAACTGTTACATATACAGGTAGTATACTGTAGCACAGTACAGTACAGTGAATCACTGTCAAGGCTAAGGAGTTAGTGAATGAATAAATAATTGAATTTTGTCTTAGCACTTTCCTGTCACTTTCTTCATTGTCTTTCACTTTCCTCCTATGCTGTATACAGTATATTCTTCCTTTCTTTGATATTTCTGTACTTCTGATTCATCCTACATAAAGGTGTGCAAGAAGGAAGTGTACTGTAATTAGATTAATAGAGTATTCCCCTCTGTTTATTTTAGAGCATTTATAATGGTACATTAGGAGATTCTGTACTGTATCTCGTTCAGAAATCTCTCGCTGTAAAATGTAAATCCAAATAGAATTAAAATGGACCATAACTCATTCTTAACCCTTGTTAACAAAGGACAGCTTGTGTGCCTGTTTCATTTGTATTTGCCAAGAAAGTGTTTGGTTGATAAATTAGGCATCAAAGTGATGACTCATCTCCTATACTCACCTCTCTCTTGACTTTTTCTGTTCCTTTAAAATAGAAAATTGACTCAGGGCTGGTGTTTAGTCCAATAAAAAACTTCTTAAACTTTGATGATTATACTCAGCACTTTATCAAAGGATGGTTTCTCCAGGTTTTTAAACTAGTTCAGAGTGGTGAGACCAGTGACATACCCAGGTATGTATGAGGTACAGTACTTAAAAAAAAAAATCTGTACATTCATTATGAGCTTACCATTCAATTAATGATGCTATTATTTATTTTTATTTTGTTGTCGTTAATATTTTTTATTTTCTCCCCCCCCTCCCCGCGGTATGTCCATGGGTGAAACTGATGCACGGAGAAGGAAAGAGATTGCAGTATAATAAAGAAATAAAAATTATTATTCTATAATATTTTTACTTATTTCTAAACCTGAGGTCCCATTTTAGTATTCCGGTCTTTGTGTAAAGTATATACTACTATGTACTCTTTTAGATTAATAAGATCATTTTATACCATAGTTGAATACAGTACTGTACAATACCTAAATTTTTCCTTATATTCCAGGGAATTTTTCATGTTGAAACTTAAACATGGGCAGAACCTTAGTCCAATGTGTACAGTTTTTATTTCAAATAGAATATCACCTTGGTTACCTTTATTATTTATCAAACTTTAATTTTACTCTTTAGGCCCCGGAGTCACACCAGACAGTGTGCCACGTGACATGAAAAATGTAGTTTTAGTTGTGAACGGCCGCACTGAAGAAAAAGTAACAGATGCAAAGTATTGGCTGGACTCCATTCAGAGCTGGGACACACCTCCTGTGGTTATACTGGTGATGCTGGGGAATGAGGTAAGGTGTGTTTACTTTGTAAGAAATGAACACTAAGAATA